CAAGGCAGAAGTGGATCAAATTCCATTCTCAACAGAATTCGCCGTTATGACAAAGGTTGTCCTGCTTACGGAATCGAACTCGGCTCTTCCAACGTTCGAGACAGACCTCATTGCTACAGTGTCACCGTGCATCATGCCCTGCGCAATCGCTCAACTGTTTTCGCATTCAGCTTTGTCATCATCAGAGCCTTTCTTTCCCTGCTGAAGCTGGCCTCTGCTCCTGTCGACCCCATTTTGCATTTTGTCAGATCAATTGCCATTTTCTTCATTCCTAAAGGGAGTTTAAAATCTTTTCAATGTAAATCTCGTTATATCTACAGATAATTGAAAATACACGTCCAGGGCAATTATTGTAATATCATATATGTTTTTGTGCATTTTGCGAAATTTGGAAAGACAGAGTAAATGACGCGATTGTCAAACCAATTGAATGATGAGATATGCAACTGACACTGCAGGTGCTCAAATACCATGTAGCCGTGATCTGCTCAGGTGTCCCCTCACGTGTATCTAAGGGCATGAGGCAGTGCCACACGTCGTGAAATCTGGTCCTGGAGGAATTATGCCTTATAACCAATAGGTTAGAAAATTCTGATTCGATTGTCTCTTTTACGACCCACGCATCGTACAAAGTTTTGAAGATGAAATGAGATGACGTGATGAAAGAGTGCGTCATTTGGAACCACGCATCGTCACAAATCGACAATCTTTCTATGCACCAAAGCAGACAGATGGAGGTGGATGTTTCACAGCCAGCGTCATTGGCTGATTTTTTTCCATGCACAAGAAGCAGCCTTCGTCGAAGATTAAGCAATAGTAGGTGTGACGGCTGAATGTTTTGTTTTCTTCTGAAAAAAACGTTAATAAAATGACAAACAAGTTCGGTTGCTTTTTAAACATTATCATTACAGTTAAATTTAGCTTTTACATTTCCGGTTTGCATGACCTATTATTGCCTCTAATGCATTAGAACAAAAATCTAGGTAGCAAGTTAGAGAAAAAT